GCTTCGGCAGAAGAGAACTGAAGCCTGGAGCAGACCCCTTGCGTATATTTGCCCCAGGCTAATCTTGGCCGTCCTCTCGGCTTTCTGCCTGTCGGCTAGACAATAACAGATGCTTAGCCTTCCTTTCTGGAGGCATTCGCAGCACATGCCCAAGCAACCGCAGTTGTAATTTCTCAATCTGAAGAAGCAGCAATTGTATTCCAGGGCTTACGCGGATGTCTGTATTCCGGATCATAACTCACTAATCAACGTTTTAGCTTTTCATGTAGCAGACAGAGTTCCATGTGGCAGATGTTGCTATTCCTGGATCCCACTGTTGTAGCTCTTATATCACACTGGACCAATGCTATAACTTTGAACCAAAACTAAAGTATTTTGGATCGCAGATATCCATTTTCCTTTCTTTCGTGGTTATATTTATAAATCGCGTATTATGTTTGGAGGATAGACGAAATAAAAAAGAAAAATTGTCTCATTTTGTTTGATGATAAATGCGAACAGGGCCGATTCTTCTTCTGTCATGTAGATGGACTTTTTGTATGCCTAAGCAGATCCGAAATTTCTCGTTTGACATTGTTTATAGCTCAGTTACCTTAGTTTTCAGATAGGCTATTATTGCTACCACACGAAAAAAGGAGACGTTACATATTATTCCTTCATGAAAATAGAACCCTACAGTTGTGCTAGTGTCGGCTGTTCACTACGCATACATAAAATGTAAATCTATGGTGCATCAGTAAAACAGGTAAGGTAATAACTTAATAATATTACAACTGACCATGTCACTGATTTGGATTCGTGTTCTAATTCATACGTATCATCACTTTTCATCTGATGCTCGTCAGTTGTTTTAGGATGAGCGCACGAAAAGCTTTTACGTTAATGAAGCGACTAACTTGCTCATGTGTCCGTGAATATGCAACTGCGAAACATTTTGCATTGAGTTCTTATTAAGATGCTATGTTTGTTCTGAATAAACCTTTTTGAAAGAGTTTTATATGCTTGATATGCCATCACATTGTCATGGTCCATAAAATTACTCAGCAGAACCACGGTAGCAGTTGAATGCAATGCCTTACTGTTTGCGGCACCAATGGTGATGCGCCGACTTTAATTTGCAATATGTTCTTTCAATACGCTTAACCAAGTGAGTTTAACTTTTTTAGTTTGAGTAGCCGTGCCGCTGTAATACTGCAGACATTTGGCAGTTATTGAAGAACACGACTGGAAGCACCATGATCACTATAGAATGGATAAACCATTCTCATACCTACAAAGCCCAGAAATGTTTAGCTTCATTCTGCAAAACAATATCCAAGATAGTCTAATGAGGCAAGGTAGCCCATGATCAGTGGTAGAAGTTCTGTGCATTTCCAAGGAAGAGGCAGCAGAAGAACTGAAGCTTCGCCCATCTTCACATGTCAGATTTCGCTAACTTGATCAAAAGGAAAAAGCAATCTCAAAAAGTTAAGGTAACGGTACAGTAGCTTATTCTTAAAGAAATACTGTAATGAGTCAGATGAAAATGATTACATCCTTCCAAAATGTATCTAGTAAGATATATAATTCCCCCACAAACTCCCACAAAATTCCGACACAGGCACCTCATCGTGGTGTGGGAGTGACAACGACAAAATATCTCTAGCCGGCTAAGCTCGGGCGGTACCATTGACAGCCTGGACCAGCGAGTGGTAAATTAACAGGTCCAACAATCATGAACACAAGAAGAAAAGGGTATGGGCTCCAGTACCCTGCATTTCCCTGGGACCGGCCTACGGTGGCGGGTCAGCAACCGAAGGACGAGGGGCTGCTAAGAATCGCAGGATGCACCAGGCCGCCAAAAAGAAAAAGAAATTGACCCGACCTCTCGATACGCACCTACAACTGTAGGTCGCTATGGATGGACCAACGCATCAATCATCTTCTCCAGGAGACCAATAGAACATCTTGCGATGTACTCGGCGTTTGTGAGACACGAAAAAAATCAGAACTTAACGCTACCTGGAGGGATGGCAACACGGTTCTTTTGAGCAAAGGAGAAAAGCAGAGGTACATAGGCGGAATCGGGTTTATCGTGAACAAGAAGTGGTCTCCACGAATCCTTTCCTACCATTTTAGTTAATCGCGAGTCGGTAT